ATCCATCAAATTATTCACAGTAAACCGCCCTGTATATATATCTTTGTTGACTTGAAACAAATAAAACCAATAACAAGTTCCGTGGGTAGTATGCAATCTCCAAAAAAGAGTTTTCACTTTTATTTTAGACATTATTCTCTCCCCACTCTGTCTCTCTCCAGTTTTCATCTTTTTCGTCAACGTTTTTTGTTTTTCTTTTCATCTAAATTCAGCTATCGTTTTAAATTCCAATCAGCTTACTCTAGTAGGATTATAAGGAAACTGATGAGTCACAAAATATCTATAAAAGAGCAACACTCCTAAACCCAAATTTAATTCTAGTCTTAAATGGAAAAAGTGTCGGTTGTTCAAGCTAACACATTTTCACTAGCTCAACTAGCCAAATAATTGAAATTGTGAACCCTAATTACTCTATTAATGTAAACTTCAATTTCGTTTTGAATTTATAAAGATATTGTAAAGTTTCAACACATTTTAAAGGTTAGAACGGTACTTAAATGCGTTCGGATTTAACTAATTTTTATTAAAACTGTAGCCCTGCAAGACTATTCTTCATAACTCGGTGGATACCACCAAATTTTAAAATAATAGAATATAATAAAAATTAACATAAACCATTAACGAACGCGAATTCCGAACTTCAAATTAACTATTGTTTTAAAATTCCTAATAATCAAAGGAGTTCAAAACTCATCCTAATATTTACTCTTAATTGTGTTTTGGTTTAAAGTTATTCCAGATTTTACTCGATTTATTTAAAATCGTCGCGTTTACGGCTAAACTTTAACATTTTTTCGGTTGCCCTCAAAGAGTCTGCTATCCCAGGGCGCAATTGAAAAATTTCAATTTCTGGATCGACCCCGTTGCATTTTGGGTGTGGCAGGTTCAACAGCATCACTGATAAGGCGCTGCACCCGTCCCAGTTTGGGCCCTGTTCGAATAATAGGCGTGTCTCCACAATCACGTTTTAGACACGTTCGATTTCAGACACGTACACGAACTGTTTTCGAGGTGTGCCTCCTTCAATCGATAAGGGTTCAACAGTATCGTCCCTTTAACGCAATACAGGCGGTTTTGCAAATATCACGAAACGATAATTCGCAAAAAAAAACAGAAAAATTTATATGTTGGAAATATAATCAATTTCAAAAAACATGATATACAAAATTATATAGCTCATTTTTTTTACATGTACATTCATTCCGATTGAAGGATCAGATATTGATAACTCTTTGGTTTACTTTTAGTATTCTTTTTTTTAAGTACATTTACGGAATTTAGTGGTTTAGAAATTTTTGCCAAAAATATCCTTATATGTTTCTCAATTTACCCAATTTTGCACAATGAAAGCGTTTGGGAAATAAATAAATTAATTAAAGTTCATGTGTTTATAGGTCGTTGACCCGGTAATGGCATGTAGGTAAAGCTGCATTCTGCCTAACCAGTATCAGGGTTTTTAGCTCCCACAAACGAGCTTTTATAAGAGCTTATATGATTTAAAGTTCATTTAAGTTCGGTTTAATTTTTATAATAATTATTTGTGTAACATATTTGAAATTTTTCTTTTTTTAAAATAAATGATTGTGTTATATTTATGGAAAACGCTCAATATATACAGGGTGTTGCAAAGTGAACGAGTCATATAATACCAGCATATTCTTTGTATCGAAGTATTTCAATTTGTTTCATGAACAAATGTTCTCAAGTCATTACTTATTGAGATACAGGGTGATAAAAGTAATTTAATTTTTTGTTTTTTTGGGACTTAGGCTTAAAAATTCGCAAGTGAGGGTTGTCGGGAATGAGAAAATAGATGGTTAATCAGTTTTGCGATAACTTGTAGATGGCGCTACCTGCACATAATATTTTGCAAAAATACCATCTTATGTATCGAAGCGCATGGTGGCCAGGTAGAATATTTACTTTAAGTTTGTTTTTTGTAATATTTGTTAAGTAAGTTGATTGAATAAAATTTGGTTGTCTAATAAAATTCCCTTATTTTGATTTTTCATTAGTAATCGTAATAGAAATCGCAACAGGTGTTTTTTTTTGTTCTTCCTATTGATTTTTTTAATCTTGTACTAGAGCATATCTCAAATTTCTGTTGCATTTATATTTGTGATTGTGATCTCTGCCCTAGTCTCTGCCGGACTTTTTAAAATCTTTGTTTATGGTTCACTTTTGATATTGTTTTTGTTGGATAGATCTCTGAAAAACGCACTACAACTTTCTGTTGGTTATGGTATCAACCTGAAGTCACCTGAACCTGGGACTATTTTTTGTACATGTTAAATTAGATTTACAATAAATATTTTTGGAGATATGCTAACATAATACTGGAACCTATCCGTTTTACTTTTTCTGAATCTTAAAAATATTCTGTTTATTAATATAGGTATACTGAGAAGCCGATATCTCCCTATGGAAACTGAATCGAATGCTTTTATTGAATTTGAATGCTCCACTCCCAAAAGCCCGTAATTTTTGTGCCATTATGAGAAAATGATAAAACTTAATGTAAATAAAGCTCTATAAACTGTTGAAATTGTACAACAAAAAAGTGAAACACCCTGTATAAGATATTATCTTTGAAAAGTTGGTCGAAACTATGCAGGGTTGTTCACTGTGAGTATTCTATTAGACATTTATGGATAATGACTTACGGCGAAATATTTGGGGCCATTTGGTGGTGTTGTATACTCGTAAAGTATATCAACTTTCGTTATTTAAATGGAAAGCCCTGCATATTATAACATTTTTAGATTCTGAGGAACATTCTGGGACTTTTTCATGTAACATATACCATACCTCTCTTGATCCTTTTCGGAGATAAAAAATACTTTTTCAGAAATTTGGCAACAACCCAACAACAATGTTTTTTGTCGCAACCTGTACAGCTAAACACTTCAATTTTTGGTTGCGGCTCTCTATTAAATTGCTTTATCATAATATAGTATGAGAATTAATTTATCGCGTACGTGGCAATTTTAAATGGAATACCCCATATTTTATATTGGCAGGTCAATTAGCAATTAATTTGCCATCTAAAAGAACTATGGTATATCTATTTTCATTGGTTTTCGAATTAGAAGCAAAAAATCAAAATATTGCAATTAAATGAATTAAAGTAATCATTTCATCGTTTTTTTGTAAACAAATTTGTTTTTGTCATAAATAAGCTTAATATTCCGTTATTAGCGTGTTCAAATGAGTAATTGTAACAGTGAAATGGGAAGGAAATATATATGCCAAAAAAAAATTAATATTTATAGAAATTGTTATACACAAAACTAATATTAAGGACTCATAAACGGTTTTAAGTTGTTTTTAATTACATACAACTAGATCTTATGCTTCAATGAGCTTCATCAAGACATCCACGGATTGACTTCATAACATTGGAAACTGTTGCTCTTTGAATTTCGTTTGTATTAAGTTGTTGAAAAGTCTGCTCGACACGGCGTTCCGAATCTTCTATTGTTCCAACTGGAGTTTTATACACTCTTTCTTTAATAACGCCCCAAAGGTAGTGGTAGCGAAATCATTGGACATAGACGCCTTATCCATCGGTTTTCGAACATTATTGTAAGTTCTTGACTTACTCTATTTGTGCAATGAGCGCAGGAGCTCCATCAAGTTGATACCAACATCTGCGATGTAACGCTAATAGCAAAATTGTCTAAGAAATCTGTAACTAGTCTTTGTAAAATATCCAGATATTTTTCTCGTTCAAATTCTCGTTGTAGATACAAAAAATTATTTCATTATCTTTTTCTCGTACAAATTTTGGATTTTCTTGTGACCAAAAATGATGACCAATATGACAAAACTCTACCCGTAATGGTGTATCACGAGAGAGAAAAGATTTTAATGTAATTATTTTGTAGTTATGGATATTATGATTCTTTAATATCCATTGAATGGACGAAAATTATATGTCTAAATCATCTTTAGTGCTTGAAATAGACGCAAGTCGAAATGTGTGAAAATATGTTAAAACGTTGGTTTCATTTTCTCCTGAGTTTTTAACAGGTTTTGGAAGTTCCCTTCTTCGTAGGTTTCGAAAATTTGCTTCAATCCTTTTAAACTTTTTCTTCGTCATTGGTGGCAAATGCGGATATTGTTCATTAAATCTTCTCCACGTTCTTAAAACAATTCTTTGACATTCACCATAAATGTAAAACAAATTCAAAATATCTGCGTTTGCATAATTATGTGCCATCTTGCTTTCTCAAATAACTTTTAACTATGAAAATGCGATAAAATGAGAAATCTGAATGCATCTGGACATTTCAGTTTTTTTTACAGGCAACGTCACTATGGCCGGCCAGAGCCTGCCACCCAGATGAAATGAATGAAATGAAAATAGATATACCATATTTTAGTACTTTTAGATGGCAAATTCATTGCTCATTTACTTGCCAATATAAAATATGGGGTGTTCCATTTAAAATTTTCACTTAATCTTCTATCTTATGAACGCCCCGTGCGCGATAAGTTAATTCTCATAATATATTACGAAAATTATCAAGCTAGGTATGGGACATGTTACATAAAAAAGTTCCAGAATGTTCCGCAGAATCAAAAAAAATTAATAATATACAGTGCGTTCGATTTAAAAAAAGAGAGTTGATATACGTCACGAGTATATCTGGCAACACCGCATGGTCAAAAATATTTTACTATAAGTCATTCTCCATACATCTTTAACCGTGAACAACCCTGTATATGACGTAATTAACAATTTTGGACGTTTTAAAAAGATATCGTTTTGATTCAAGAAGCCTACATAAATATGACCCCTAGCGCGTTAATCTCCGAATAACAACAAAAAAGAAGCCAAATTAACGCGTTTTGAAACGTCGGCCCCGCAATTTTGACACGGTCGCAGGAAAGGTTGCAGGATAGAGTGGGCGAGAGGCGAATAGAGACGCAGGCGCTCTCGCCGCGCACCCTCTGGAGGCGAGCTTCGGAAACTCAGTTTGACCCGAAACATCGTGACGAAAGTCTGTCTAGCCGGTCGATTAAAAAATTTTTGCCATCTTTACCGTCGAAATTTGATCTCGTCTCGGGGTGCCAAAAGTGAATTGCTTTTTTTACGTCCGCAGTAGCGGTAGGATATTTTTTTGCCCGGCGATTGACGCCGCGGAAAGACTGCGCGGAAAGGGGAGGCAGTGTGTACAAGAAATAACAACATATAAATATGGGTGCCAAAGGAAGCGTGGAGGCTGCCAAAATCAATTCGCAAAACTGGAGCAATCTCGAGGTAACTTGCGAGTAAACATTTTCCAATGTTGTGCCCTCCCTTTCGGATCTCGATCCGCGAGTGCTTAAGAGATCGATGAGTTAGATTAGGTGGTTACTCCCAAGTCGTGTTTTGAATTACGAGGGAACGCGAAGGATGATGAATTTGGACCGGGATCCTGATGATCCGAAGTGAGAAGTTGTTTTTGAATTATGGGCGCTCTGAAAGAATTTTCTCTCGTGCTATCCTGCCTACCCGTGAACTTTAGAATTCGGAAGTTTGTAAGGTAGAATCGCACCAACTTGAACCAACTAGAATGAGAAACGCATGTTTAAAAGGTTATCCAACATACAAAATCCAAAAACCAAAAGGGTGGGATAGAAATTGCAATTTGTGGTGTTCAATCCATGATGATTGAAAAAATTATTTATAGTTTTATTTAAACTGGTGATAGCAACAATGTGTGCGTCACTCTTCCATCCATATTGAAATTTTGCAGAAATGAAGGGCATTTCTGTAAAATTAAAAAAAAAAGTATTTAACTAACAACAGCATAATTTTGGTTAGAATTTTAGCAAAGTCGCACACTCCATTTTATATTAGGTTTTTATTTGTATTCATTTCATTCGTGTTTTTACTTGAGTTTTTTTAGAGTCAAAGATCCGATCGTCAATTTATTATTTACTTTTGGATTATACAGGCTGTCTCAAATTTTCGGTATCGACATCGATGTTGGAATTTTAAACGGAACACCATATATTTTATTGCGCTTTTGGATTTATTGATAAGCACAAAGGTTACTTTCAGCAGATCGACCTATTGCATTGCCGCACAGTTTGGGAAATATTAAAGTTTATGTGACTTGTTATTGAAAAATCATCGTAATTAAGAAAAGCCCGCAAAATTAGTGGTGATGTTTGCAATGTTTGCAAAAGGAATATGCAGTGAACGGCTAAAATATGGAACATATTCATTTAACAATCACTCCTGGATTTCAAGAAAAATGTTTGCACATATCAAAAATAATTTTTTCTTACGCATTTTGTGTAAGTAAATTAAAATATATAGGGTTTTCTGTGTCAAATTTCAAGAAAATTAAAAGGGGAAAACCATAATCCTTACAAACTTACATAGAATAGTTTGCAAAATCTCTTGATATGACTCCACCGAATTCTTTTCTGCGGGAATATTTAAAGTGTATAAGAAAGAATCAAACATTTAGTTGATTTAAAATTTATATATATATGATCGAAATATTTTGGAAGGGGGTTTTAAATCGATTAGCATAAATAAAATAATTTCCGTGAAATGACTTATCCTTTTGCACATAAAAAGTACGAGACAAGTATAGGTTAGATGAATTATGCTTGAAATTTCTCATAAAAAACGAAAACGCATTTAAAAGAAGGAACTTGATATCGACAGATGTGTATTTTTTATTTACTTCAAAAAATGCATAAGAAAAGATTGTTGAAGGAGACCGTTTCCTTGAAATCGAATAAATGCTTTTGAAAAGAATTTGTTCCAGACTTGGGCTTGGTTAATTTAGAATTATACTTATTATATATCATTTTTTCAATGGCACCCTAGGGCATATTATGCCTTTAGTAGAACGCATATAATGCTTATACAATAAATATTTATATAGTGGTTGCAGAGTTATTTAACTTCTCAATTTTTGCGCATTCCAAAAACAAAACAACTGTATCGTGAACTAAAATACTCTGTATAATATTTTAGAGATTGGAATTTTACAATTTTTTTTTCTATATACCTCCCACTTTCTGCTATACAGGGCCTCTCTTACAGCATCGGTTTGATTAAGAAAAAAAAACAAAAATAGGGGCGACGTATATCTCCCATTTGGTAATGGTGACTTGGTAATTTATTATTATGATTTTATTTAAATCCCGTCGAAATATCTAAATCCAAGTCAATGAAAAAAAAGAAGGCAGTTTATCTTCTTGTGAGGTTGTGACGTTTTGTTGATAAGTCATGTGGATTGAAAGTGTTTTTTTGTTTTAAAAATTTTCCCTATTTCATTGAAAATGATGCCTAGGAATTGGATTTTCACTAGACTTTTGTCCCTTACTTTTGTCATTTGATTCATTGATTTATTGCAAATTAGACCCGAGTATTAAAATTTTGCCAGACTTTTTTTCCTTTAATTTTTTCTTTTCATTTCCACAGACATCGGGTAATAGCAGAACAGAAGAGCATTTAAGATGAAGACGCCTCTGTATTTTAACTCTCCAAATAAATACAGTGTGAAATTTTGCACAGGCACACACGTTGATGTTTCACATTTTTAAGATACTTAACTGAAATTTAAATTTAATACGCGGCTTACTGCGGGGTCAGGATCAGTTTTCGACATTCGATATCGGAAAAAGTTAATTGAAAAATTGTTCCGAATATTATTAAACCCCCATATCAAATTTCATGGTAAAATTTGCATTTTTAGTTTTTTCGATATTCTGGTCATTTCACAAAATTATTAAAAGTTGATTTTTTTATTCGATAAATTAATGTGCCACTAAAAGACAAATATCTACAATATATACAATAGTGTAGTTAATGTAATTTAAATTCTTCGGCAAAATTAATAACACTGACACAAAGGAATAATTATTTCATTTTAAGAAAACAATAATTTCTTGTATTTAAATGAGTAAATATAAGAAAAAAATTAAAACAGTTATTTTCATGGTCCAAATGAAAATTCATCAAATGTCATCTTTGACAGACGTGTCTTATTTTAGCACGAAATTCTTATCGATTTCGGGGAATTGTTTTAGAACATATATGTTTATCACTCCACAAAAATGAAAATCCACCTGGGAGCTTAGAGGGCAGGGTTCAAAAGAACACTTTCTCCCTATCCAGCGCAGAGAAAATTTTTGGTTTATCCATTGGGGAACGCACCTTGAATGGTAAATGGAAGCACCATCTAGCTGAAAATATCTATCCTATGGCACATTGAGAGGATGATTTTCTAAAGCATCCTATAATTCTTTAATGAAAATGTTAACTAAACGACCAGCATTCAGTGAATCATTTATGAAGGAAGACCTATTATTTGGTCTCCCAAAATCCTATACCAGACATTGAGTTTCTAGGAATATTGATCAATTGATAATTGATAAATTATCTCCAGCCCTATATCTACAATTTTGAGATGATACAATCCGATCGGTAAACATAATCTTCTACGGAAACTTATAATAAATTTAGTAAAACTAAAAAAGCGAATTTTGTCAGGAAATTGCAAATCTGCATTTATTTAGGTGGCCAAAACATAGGGGTGTTTTCATATTAAATGCGACACACTGTACATATAACTGATTCTAATTTTTCTCCACTTTGTAAATTTGTTGCAGATCCCTTGCCCAAATCGGCTTACTGCATTTAATTTAAAAATGAAGTTTCTAAACCACCGGTAAGGACCAAAGCAAACACAATAACATTTATTGGTGCTTTGGCGATAGACATGTGCTCTCCAGGCCATTTAGTTATAGCCATAAATGCAAATTAAAATGGTTTTCCTTTAATTACTTTCGCTCCAGTACTCGGGCAATTAACCTTTGGGGTATTAACCGTGTCTATAGTCTCTCATTATTACCTATATGTGTCCCCGTTTCCGTCCTTCGCACAGATAATCGTGTATTTGATGTGTAAAGATCACTCTTGCAGGAAATTCGTATAGTCCAGCCTACGCTACACCCCAATATTGCGATAAAGAATCAGTTACGTATAAAACTAGGTAGTCTATATATCGTATAACGCTATTTAGTATCCCATTTTATAGAAGACCTAATACATCTTGCGAAATAATATGGAGTAAAAACTCTCTGAATACTATTCACCTAAATGTAGAGGCTTTCATTACTGACCTACTTACTATAGTCACTATTGTATCCATCGCTTTGAAAAAGAGTATACAAAAACATCCAGTTAGATTTTCTTTGCTATAGTATCATTTATGTCGAATTATTATATTAGTTATGGTATGTTGCGCTGTTCTGCAGAGCATTGATCACAATTTCGTGTTTGTTTCTTCTATATAGATTTTTCAAAAATTCGAGTGCGTAAGTCCAAAAATGAAGTCGAAGCATATGCTTTACTTTTTAAGCAACGGATAAGAGACAAATATTGAAGTTTAATGGACCACAAGTTTTTGGGTCTCCTTGTTTCCAAAAATTCCTATAAAAATGCATTTATTGTGTACAATCTGGAAAAAAAAATCATCACCATAGCTTACAATAATAGAAAAGTTCCAGAGTTGTTCAAATTTTATAATATGAAATAAGGGGTGTTTTTTTAGATGTATAGAACTTTAAGTTGCAATAAAACAACGATGGATTATTCGATTGACATGAATTTTATTTATCCGAAAGATAATCTTGTGACATTACATTTTAAATATGATTTTTGGCATATGACCGTCGCGGCTGGCGCGGATGTAGTCCAATCTGGACGTCCAATTTTTGATGACTTTTTCCAACATTTGTGGCCGTATATCGGCAATAACACTTCGAATGTTGTCTTCCAATTGGTCAAGTGTTTGTGGCTTATCCGCATAGACCAATGACTTTACATAGCCCCACAATAAGTAAACTAGCGGTGTTAAATCGCAAGATCTTGGAGGCCAATTCACAGGTCCAAAACGTGAAATTAGGCGGTCACCAAACGTGTCTTTCAATAAATCGATTGTGGCACGAGCTGTGTGACATGTCGCGACGTCTTGTTGAAACTACATCTCCTGGACATCATTTTTATTCAATTCAGGAATGAAAGAGTTAGTAATCATAGCTCTATACCGATCACCATTGACTGTAACGTTCTGGCCATCATCGTTTTTGAAGAAGTACGGACCCACCATCCCATAAAGCGCACCAAACAGTCATTTTTTCTGGATGTAACGGTGTTTCGACATACACTTGAGGATTAGCTTCGCTTCAAATGCGGAAGTTTTGTTTGTTGACGTAGCCATTCAACCAGAAGTGCGCTTCATCGCTAAA